ACAAAAGCCATGTGCTGGTTGCTCACATTTGTAATCCTAGCTCCTTAGAAGGTAGAGATCTGAGGATCTCAACCTAGGCAACCTTATCTCCAATTAACCAGTAAAAAGTCGGAAGTAGAGGCTAAAGTGGTAGAGCTCCAGCCTTGAGTGAAAAAAAACAAGTGAGAGTATAAGACCTTGCATTCAGGCCCTACTATTGTCTTTCACACACACATACACATGCACATGCACACACACACACACACACACACATACACACACACACACACACACACACAAAATCAATTAAGGATACTTGGAAAATATAGGAAACGTAAGAAAAATTCATCAAATTCACATCAAGGCAGAATAGATAATGGAGGAAGAAGGGAATGGAAAACAGAAAACAGGAATTCAAAGATAAACCTATTAGTAACCAGTGTTAGTGACTCCTGCCTGAATTCCAAGCTACTCAGGAGGCTGACATCAGGAGGATTATGGTTTAAAGCCAGTGAGGGCCAAAAAGTCTGTGAAACTCTGTCTGCAATTAACCAGCAAAAAAGCTGGGCTGGTGGTATGGCTCAAGTGGTGGAAAATCAGCTGAACAAGCAAGCCTAGCTAGTTTGTGGCCTTATGAATGGTTGATTAAATGTACATAGACACTTTTTTCTTGGCATTATCCTTCCCCTTCCCTACTAAGCTGTAACATGCAGTTCGAAGGAAAAAAAATGAATAAAAAGAAAAAAAACATAGCTCTCTCCTCTGATTTTGTTCAGTTTTCCAAATGATCACTACATTCTTGAATCTGAGCTAGTCCAGCTTAGAGAAAGATACCCATCCTGAGGGATACACCCTTGACAAAAAACTAACTCCTTTGATGTTTGATCACAAAAAAGTTTGCAAAGAATAACAAGTAATAGCTTATAAAGGACAACTGCCTTTAACAGAGCATCTGGCCAGGTGCTGGTGGCTCAAGCCTGTAGGCTGAAATCTGAGGATGCAGATTCAAAGCCAGCTTGGGCAGGAAAATCCTTGAGACTCTTATATCCATTTAACCATTAGAAAACCAGAAGTGACACCATGACTCAAGTAGTAGAAGCTTGCCTTGAGCTGAAGAGCTCAGGGACATTGCCCAGGCCCAGAGTTCAAGCCCCATGACCGACAGAAAAAAAAGCAAAACAAAACAAAAAAACCCAGAAGTGGTACTGTGGCTCAAAGTGGTAGAGCGCTAGCCTTGAGCAGAAGAACTTAGGGACAGTACCTACACCTTGAGTTCAAGCCCCACAACTGACTGACCAAAAAAAAAAAAAAAAAAAGCAGGGGACATCTGATAAAAACCCATTCTATTCTTTATTTAAAGGAATAGTCAGAGGGGGAAAACAATGGAGGGGGTAACAATGCTCAATAAGAAGTGTACTCATTACCTTACTCATGTAACTGTAACCCTCTGTATAGTATCTTTACAATAAAAATTTTTTTAAAAAAGGAATAGTCGGGGAAGCAGACATCTATGTCACCGTGACCCACATAAAGTGAGCTGACCAGACTGGGTATCTCTAGACACAATGAAAATGCCAAGATAGTTCTATAGCAAGGAGATGGACTGTACCAGGTGCCCAGGACAAAGGGGAGCACCAAGGCAAGCTTGAATTTAAATCCTAAGGCACATTTGAGCCAAACGTCATTCCCATTTTCACCATAAATACCACTGATGCCACAGTACTCGGCACACCTCTTTTCAGGACTGCCACCCCCACAAGGAGTGTACATTCCCCTCCATCCTTGGCTCTGCTTCACCAACCAACCTTCTTGGTCTCTACTTCAATGTGTCCTCACATTGTCTTGGGTGATTACATGGGAACCTGGTACACAAGGTCCAGGTAAAGGCTTCCTCCCTTTTGGAGGCTTCCCCGAAACTTCCCTAATTCTGGTAATGATCTGACTCAAAAGGAATTGTTGTTACCCTAGTAATCCCTGTCATCTCTTTTGAGACCACAGAATACAGCAGAAATGATTCCAAATTATTTTTTGTAAGCGGTATTATTGTCAAACAAGAACTTTATATTCCATTAGGCTTTTTCATATGGTATGTAATAGTTTAAGATACTGTTAAATGAGCCAGGCACCAATAGCTCATGCCTGTAATCCCAGCTACTCAGGAGGCTGAGATCTGAGGATCCCAATTCAAAGCCAGCCCAGGCTGGAAAGTCTATGAGATTCCTATCTCCAATTACTACCAAAAAGCTGGAAGTGAAACCATGGCTCAAGTGGCAGAGCATCAGCCTTGAGCAAAAACGCTCAGGAACAGTACCCAAGACCAAGGACCAGCATAATCAATCCAGGGGGGAAAAACCCTATTATATTAAAATGGCCCATCATATCAGGTAAACTAATCATAATGAGTTTATCTATCACCTTAGTAGAAGGCAGTAACTATTGCATATTCAATTCAACCACATTTATTCATCAGTTTTTACAGAGTGTCATGTAAGCACACTGAGGATACAGAAATAAATGGTCCCTATTTTATTGAACCAGGAAGAGAGAAAAGTATACATGGAGAAAGCAATATGATCAAGATAAACTCATGTTTGTATACAGAAGCAGACTGGCCAAGAAAATGGTTAGAATCAGGTACAGTGGGCCCTACAGAAACTGATACCTAAATTTCCAGAAATATACAGATAAGTATAGATCAGAGTAAAACAAGCAAATAAAAAGCACTTAAGTCTCTCTCTGTAGTGTATCTGTCCATTATCATTCACAGTGGGCATTGAATTACCCTAAAAGTCTGTGCCAGTTTTGCTGCCAATATGGAACCTGATTGGTTCATTGATATTTCTCTCATTCCTGGTAAGTTTGAATTCTTTATATGGATCTATTCTGTTTGCTTCTTTAAAAATTATATTTGATTTCTTTGACTTCTTTGTAATGTAGATTCGGCATAGCTCTTATTGTATGTTCTGTAATTAGGATGCACTTGTTATCCGTAACACAAAAGTATAGTTTATTTTCCTTTAAATTTTGCCAATAACATTATCGACATGCAAGAACAGTATGGAGATTGAACTCAGAACCTCCTGCTTGCTATGCAGATGCTCTGCCACTTGAACCATGACTCTAGACCTTTTGCCTTGGTTATTTTCAAGGTAAGATCTCACTTTATGCCTGGGCCAACCTGGGCTATGATCCTGCTACTTGTGCTTCCTCAAGTCCCTAAAGATGACAGATTCATGCTACTGTGCATTGTTCTCCCATGAGCTGATATGCATGCCTCTTATCATGCCATTGAGTAAAATAGAGACTTAAAAATTTTTATGTCCAGATTAGCTTTGAATCACAGTTCACTCAATCTCTGTGTCTCAAATAACTAGGATTATAGACTTGAAACATGTGCAAGAAGCTTTAACTTAATCAAGTGGTTTTCTTATAATTTTGTCAGCATTATGTATAAAGTTTTATACAATCACATGTGTGGCTCTGACTGATGGAGTTTTCCTCCAGGGGAATCTCTGGTGCCTTTCAAGAATAGTTGTTAGCCCTTATGAGGGTTAGTGTATGTCTCTTGTACTAAAACTTCTAAGATTAACCCTCAAGAGTCCCAAGCAAGAGCCTTAGTATTTACCAGCATATTTTCCTGAACAGGTTGTAATTTTTTTTTTATACTTATCTAGTTAAGATTGTTGAAGACTTTTTCTCACCCACTAAATACTTCATTGAAGCATAATGCTTTCCTGGACTGCTCTTCTTTCCAGTACTTCAGTCATCTAAGTCTTTATTGCTTTTGAAGTTCCCTATTGCCTTCAGAAAGAGGTAATTTATTTAGGTTTTAAATTTTGCCAACCTTTCTAAGAACTCTCAGTGAAGGTGTTGATCACAAAATCAGTCCATCCTTGGCAGAGCAAAACTCCATTGAAACAGTCTAAGTGGAGCAAATACATACATTGATTTGAATTTTTAAAACATTACTTAAAAATAAGCTATGGGGGGCTGGGAAGGTGGCTCAGTGGTAGAGCACTTGCCTTGCATGCCTGAGGCCCTGGGTTCGATTCCTCAGCACCACATAAGCAAAAAGAAAAAAGCTGGAAGTGGCGCTGTGGCTCAACTGGTGGAGCACTTGCCTTGAGCTGAAGAGCTGAGGGACAGCGCCTAGGCCCAGAGTTCAGGCCCCACGACCGGACCAAAAAAAAAAAAAAAAGAAAAAAAAAAAAAAGCTATGGCTAGGCACCCTAGTCCTATAATTCTAGCTATTCAAGAGGATCTTGGTTCCAGGCCAGCCCAGATAGGAAAGCCTTTGAGACACTTTCCTGCAAAACGCCATTAGTGGAGCTGGGCTCAAGTAATAGAGTGCTAGCCGTGAGCAAAAAAAGTTCAAGGACAGCACCCTGAGTTCAAGCTCTAGGACACACACACACACACACACACACACACACACACACACACGTGAATGCAATGTCCTATTCATGCTTATTTTATTGAGCTGGTGTGTGTACTTAATAATATATACAAAACTCTGGCTTCCAGAGTTAGGAAGGAGCTAGGAGCAACTCCCCAGCCCAAAAGGCTGTACAGCAAGCCAGCATCTCATCATACAAAATGGGTGCCCAAGCTCAGGCTCACAGCTCTTACACATTCCTTTGCTGAATCCAGGGTCAGCTTTTGCAACCCGGGTGATGCAGTCGGTCCTTCTAGCCGGGTGGTGGCGCTGGGCATTCCCTACTGCTATTTTAGGCTGCACCTTCCCCCTCTAGGGTGCCGAGGAATCGCGCGAGGAGCAGAGACTGACAAGGCACCAAGGGCGGGGCCTAGGTGAGGGGGCGTGGCCCGTGTGGAGGGGAGGTTCTTAGGGCGGGCCTGCGTGAGAGTGTAGTTTGCGCGGGGCGGGCCTGCGTTAGGGGCGTGGCTAGCCGAGCGTGCCTGTGTTCGGGGCGTGGCTGTTCGGGGGGCGTGCCTGCACATGGGCGTGGTTAATGGGGGCGGGCCGGCGTAGGGCGTGACTAGTGCGGGTGGCCGCAGCCTGCAGTCGGAGCGCGGACCGCGGGGAGGACTGTTGTGTGCGGCTGGTCGCTCCGGCAAGAAGCAGCCGGGGCCGGGGGCGGGCGCGTTGCCCGCCGGCTGCCAGGAGTGAGCCAAGTGGCCGGGAAGACGAACGCCCGAACACCACCATGATCCCGCTGGAGAAGCCGGGCAGCGGCAGCCCCTCGTCGGCCGCCGCCTCCGGCTCGGGCCCGAGTGGCCGGGGGCGGACGGCGCCTCACCGGCCGCCGCCCCAGGCCCGCGGGCTGCTGACGGAGATCCGCGCCGCGGTACGCACCGAGCCCTTCCAGGACAGCTACAGCCTGAGCCCGGGCCGGGAGCTGGGCAGGTGAGGGCCGCAGGGGCTCCGGGACGCCGGGCGCCGAGCCGGGTGCGGGTGGCCGTGCGGGCGCCAGTCTCCCCGCCGGGGACTCGGGGCCGCGGCCTGACCAGGCGCCTCCTCCTGGCCCGGGGGAGGGGGGCGCCGCGTAGACGGAGCCCGGCTGGGCTGTCCGCGGCGGGGACCCCGCGATCCAGGCTCGGTCACCCGCCGTGGGACCCCGCGCCTCCGGCCGCACCGGTTTCACGGAGGCGCGTGTGCACCTCCTACCGGTCGAGCGGCCGGCGTGGAATCAAGCCAGGCCCCGGAGGGGTCGGCGCGGCTTTCCGGTGCCACCGGGGTGGCGTGGCCCTCGGCGCGGTTCCCTGCTCTGGACTCTTCCCGGCTCTGCTCAGCAGCGAGCCGGCCCTGTCCTCTCCGCCCCGACCGGCTGCCTCTCCCGGAGTGAGGGGAGCCTGCGGCTGGCCGAGGTGCCGCCGGCCGGGGTGCGCGTCGAGGCGGGGCGGGGCGGGGCAGCCGGTGCGGTTCGGAGCCCCGCGCCCCGGAGTGGTCGGATGCGCTGGCGGGGCCGGTCCGGAGTGGACTGCGCTCGTCTCCCTGTGTGTGACTGGGCGGGGGAGGTAGAGTCTCCAAGCCTGTCTTGTCTGGTCCTGAAATAAGCCGTCTCAGCGGCCGTCCCTACCGCGTGGGGTTGGCGGGGACGCGGTGCCATCTGGGCCTGAACGTTAACTTGCGTGTTGGTTCTCTGTCTCAAACCTTTGTCGGCCTTGCGTGAGCCTTCCGGGTGGTAACTGGAATTGGGTCTTCCAGGTAGGACAGCCTGCAGGTGGGGTTTTGGAAAATAAACATTGGTTCCAAGCAGAGACCAAAAAATGCACGCCTTGGCAGAGAGTAAGGTAACTGGGATAGAAAGATCGTTTTGTTTTTTTTTCTTTTAAATATTTTTTAATGTTTCCTGCCCCAGGACAGGTGTGAAACTTAAAAATGTTTTCTTATTCTCAGTGTTCACCAAAGGGGGGGGGAGGGGAAATATGCTTTCCAGAACCATATCGATTTCTCTGTTGACTCTGGCCCACAGTGCATGATTTAATTATGACACCATGAGAGAACTCGGCTAGACTCTGCAAGGGACTGAAATGCCTTGAGATTCCATACATTCCAAAGGAACCCTGATTACCTGAAAAGGGAAAAGTGAGTTTTCCATTGTTTGAGTTGTCTGGCTGTGTTCCACAAAAGGAAGTCAGGCATTCCCAGACGTCCTCAGGTGGCAAGACCTGTCTTGTACACTTGATAATGAATGATTTCAGATGAAAAACTGGATTTGCTTCCTATCAACTCTTAGGGTACTGATCTCCCCATCCCCCCCACTCCCAGGAGTGTTTCTTTTAACTTCTGTTTTGTACTTTTTGAAGGTGTGTGTGTGTTTGTGTCCTTTATAGGAGTAAATTCTGAAGTGGCTGAGCAATTTAGAACTAGATATTTGAAGCCTGAAACTGAAAAATAAAACTTTTTTTTTTCTCTTTGGTCCCCTTCTTTTAATCAGGAAGGGGGTTGTGAATAGTGTGGGCTTTGCAGTCAGTAGGTCTGGGATCGGTTCTTGTCTTTTGCCACTTCTGTGCCCTTGGTAAGATTGCCTCACCATCGATTACCTCATAGAGTTGTTGAAAGAAAGAAAACACATCTATAGCCTTAAGGCTATGCTTAGTCCTCAGTAAATGCAGTTCATTGTGACAAGTATATAACTTGCAAAATTACCCATTTTATATTTCCATGATGTGGGAGGAAAAACAGAAGATGTATCCATTCCATAATACGGATTTTAATGTAGTGAAATGGAAAAGCTCAGAGTTAAGTGTTCAGTCAGAAATCTATTTCTTTTAGGTGTTTGTGTACAATGACTGTTCCAAGATGGTCAGCATTGTTTGCAGAATAATGACAAGGTGTGAGGTTGGTCATTTTTTTAAAATGCACATTCTTTCATTATCCAGAGAAGTCTATAGCAACCTTTCTTGTGTGCGAATATAAGAGGTCAGACTTTCTTTTATGTCTTCATGTGACTTGCTCTGAGTCCAGATATGTGCCAGTGTAAACCACATTAGTGATTTCATTACTGAGGCATGAAACAGATAAATGGACTTGAGTACTTAGAAGTTTTACATGTTGATTTCACCTTGAGTTTGTTGGTAATAGAGCAACGGAAAGATGTTTTTATAAGTGTAAAATGATGTTGATTTCACATAAGATGATTGGCCTTATAAATGTGTTTTCATCGTCTAGTTCCCACCAGAACATTATTTTAAACATGTTTGTAAATTTTATAGAAGTGTTAGGTCAAGGGCTGAGGCTGTAGCTCAGTGTAAGGATTTTGTTTGTTTGTTTTGTGTCAGTACTGGGGATTGAACTCAGAGCATGGGCACTTTCCCTTAGTTTTTTTTGCTGAAGGCTAATGTTCTATCACTTTTTTGGTGGTTAATTAGAAATAAGCATCTCAGAGATTTTCCTGCATAGGCTGGCTTCAAACCTTCAACCTCTGTCTCAGCCCCCTAAGTAGCTAGGATTATAGGTGTGAGCCACTAGCACCTGGCTTAGTAAATGGAATAGTTCTTGACTAGAATATACAAAGCCCTGATGTGATACACACACACACACACACACACACACACACACACACACACACACCATGCACACATACCAAAAGAACATGTTTTGCTCTTTGTATTATGTACTCATAGTTGAATTTTCCTAATATGGGAGAGGAGTTATAAACATGAGCTCCTTGCTGAAACTGGTCCTTCATAAGTATGTGGGCTTTACAGTTTTACAAATGCTTTCACATACCTTCATTATAGGGTAATCTGATAATTTTGGACAAATAAAAGGAAAATTAATTTTAGTCATTTTGTAAAACTATAAATAACAAATCTCATCACCAAGGCTTGGGTATAATGATGCATACTTGTAATCACAGCTACTTAGAAGGTGGAAAATGGGAGAATCACAGTTCATGGCCAACCTAGGCAAAAACTTAGCAAGACCTTATCTCAACCAACAAGCTAAGTATAGTGGTACATGTCTGTGATCCCAGCTATGCAGTAGGCATAAGTAAGAAGAGGATGGAGATCTGGCTTGCCCTAAGCAAAGAGGGAGAGAGAGGGAGGGAGAGAGAGAGGGGGAAAGAGAGAGAGAGAGAGAGAGAGAAAAGTAACCAAAGGAAAGAACTTGGGAGCGAGGCTCAAAAGGCAGAGCACCTGTGTTCGAACTCAGTACCATACATACACACACACACACACAATCTGATCTTTGAATCAAATGCCTTAGTTACCCAAGTAGTTATAGTCATTTATTCACTTCTTTGGGTAAGTAAGAAGGAGCTAAATTTATTAAGCGAATTCATACATGTGGAATTCAAATTAGATCACCTCCTGAGGTTTAAGGGAATAGCTTAGTGGCACAGAGCCATTTACCTAAGGGGTGCAAGGCTTGGATTTGACCCCCACTGGAAACTAAATTTGCCTTGAAGGCTCTGCTCTGTTCCATGATATTTTGTACAAATTGTTATGATTGATTATATCATAGATCTGAACTTAGTGTCCAGTATAGGAAAAGTATTGATTATTAGGATTTGCTCAATACTTTAGAAATGTTGTTGAATTGAAACCCCTTGTAAATCTTTTTTTTTTTTTATTTTATTTTTGTCAGTTGTGGAGGCTGAACTCTGGGCCAGGGTGCTATTCCTCAGCTCTTTAGCTCAAGGCTAGCTCCTAGCCACTTGAGCCACAGCGCTACTTCTGGCTTTTTCTGCTTATGTAGTGCTGAGGAATCGAACCCAGGGCCTCATGCATGCAAGGGAAGTACTCTACCATAAGCCACCTTCCCAGCCCTCCTAGATATGTTTTGAATGCACGAATACTTACCATTGAGTTATAATGACCTACTCTGTTCAGTACATTATGTGCTATCCTGCAACCTAGGTTCTAATCTGTCTGTGCAGATTAGAAGACACATTTCTCAGAATATGTCTCCACTGTCTTAGTGACTGCAACATGGTCACATGGGAAGCACATAAAACACTACACTGGGCTCTAGAATTTATTTCCAAATGTAACCATCAGTCACTGTTCTCAATGACATGTCACCAGAAGATCCTATAAGGAAGTCACATTTGAACAGAGCCATAAAAAATGAATGGAGTTTGTTAAGAGTGAGGTAAGACGCACAAACCATTGACAGTAAGTGAACAAGATACAGTAGTAGGCAAGTTCAGTAAAGAGAGGATGGCAAGTAATCCTGCATGTTAAGGTTATGAGGTCAAGTTGCCCTAAAATATTTTTGTCCATAAGATGAAAGAGCGGGATATCTCTCCACTATGCTAGGTGGTACGATGGAGATGTAAGATGGCTGATAAAGGAAACCCTGGGATTCACAGTCTAGCTATGAGTTGTATAACAACACATTGTCATGTGTCAGATTGATTAATAATAAAGATCTAAACAAGGTAACTCCTTTGTAAGGTGGAGTAAATCAGGACATAAAACTTCACTTGATTTTTTGCTTCCTCTATGTCCTGTTCAAATAATAATCTACATTATCTCTTACATTTGCCTGTAACTCAGCCCTTGAGCTGTTATTTGAAATCCATCCAATGAAAAGGATTCTCTTTACCATGAAAGACACCTCAGACTTGTATCCCAGACATATAATCCTGCTAAGCTCTGTTGCTGCTTTTCTAATCTTCATCGCAGCATTTATCTATGCAGTTGCACAGTACCTACATTAAAAATCTAGAAGCCAGTCTCCACCACCATCTCCATCTTTCCCTTCCTTTAGTGTTTTTGCATTTTGAACATTTTATAAATATTCTCTCTTCCCTGTCTCACTGCCGCTACCTGGGTTCTATCAATGGCTTCTCCATTTAGGGTTATTTGACAGTCTACTCTCCACAATACTATCAGAATATTTTAAAATAGCCCAAAATCTCTTGAGCACCAGTAGCGTATGCTACTCAGGAAGCTAAGATCTAAGGATCACAGTTCAAAGCAAGCCAAGGCAGGAAATGCCATGAAACTCTCATCTCCAATTAACCACCAAAAAGCCAGAAATGGAGTTGTGGCTTAAGTTGTAGAACACTAGACTTGAGCTAAAAAAGCTAAGGGACAGTGCCCAGGCCCTGAGTCCAAGCCCCCCAGTATTGGGAAGTTAAAAAAAAAAAAAGAAAAAAAATTACCCTCTCTGAAAAATTTTGCACTTTTAACAGTGAGCGTTTGTGTTTGATTCTAGGGGGAAATTTGCAGTGGTGAGAAAATGTGTGAAGAAAGATTCTGGAAAAGAATTTGCAGCAAAGTTCATGAGAAAAAGAAGAAAAGGCCAAGACTGTCGGATGGAAATCATTCATGAGATTGCTGTGCTTGAGCTGGCCCAGGACAATCCTTGGGTCATTAACTTACATGAAGTCTATGAGACTCCCTCAGAAATGATCTTGGTTCTAGAATAGTAAGTAATGTTTCCTTTGGCTGAGTCTGCTATAGGCTCCACCCCCTCAGTGGTACCACAAAGCTTTGCCAACGAGCCAGGGCCTGGTTGTTACCTTCTCATCCTCAAAAACACCTTTTCTGCTTTACTGTGCCACATGTACCCAGCTTTTATTAGCCAGCCTCTTCTCCCTTTGTGGAGAAAATGAGATGGTTAGAGGCCCACTCCCTCAACACCCCATTCCTCCTGCCCTTTACATTTGACTCAGCGTCTCAGTTCCATGGCTTATCTATGTCCTTTATACTTCCTCTTCTGAGATCTGTCTTTTGCAATTTCAGACCTCCTCCTCTGGTAGACCTCTCAAACCCTCTGTCTTTATTTCAGTCTCTTCTGAAATCCCTCATTCTCAGCTTTAGCTCTTGAACTCTCATCATGACTTCTTCCATGAATGGTCTACGCTCTCCTCCCTTTCAGTCAATCCACAATGTTCCTTCACTGAGCCATTCATCTGCTCAGGTGTCAGTGCTCTTTTCACAGTTCAACTCATGGCCATCTGCTCTTACAAAACCAGCCCTTTTTGACAGAATTACTCTGCTCAGTTTAGTATTCCTTCCACTACTTTACTCTTTTGAAATTATACTCTTCCTAGCCTTTCACAGTCCTGGGCCTTTGTGTTTTAATTGTTGTTGTTTTAATTTTCTCTCTGAAGAGCTGCTTACTCTATTCTGTGTAAGTACAAGTGTTCCCCATGGTACTATTATTGGTACTGTTTTTGTTTGTGTATGTTCTGTACATCTTTCCTGTTCGTAGTCTTTTTGAGTAGCTTTGACTGTTATTTACATGTATTTCTAAATCATGCCAAACTCAATCCCTCTTCCTCAATGTTGTCCTTTTAAGGTCTATGTTTTCTTTTGTTCCCTATTTCCCATAGTATCTCCTTTCTTTCATTGCTCATGCCAGAAAACCTTTGCACCTATCCTTGATTCCATTATCTACGTTGACAGTCCTGCATGATAAATGAGTGGGTCTCCTCCTTCAGCCTCTCCAGTAGCTCCTTCCCTTATCCCTGGACTTCCCCGCCTAGGTTGTCCCTTCTGCTGCTTTGAGATAAGTGAGGGAAACAGAGATGTGCTGAAACTGATCCCTCACTAAGAAGCCCTCTATGGAAGTGGATCTAGGTTTTGAAAACCTAGATCAGTGTGGTTTAGCCATTGAGTTTTACCCTCTGCTGGCCTAGAGATACACAGGTTAGTGAGGTAGTAAACTGATCAACCACATCCATGGTTTGTCCTTAGAGAAGCAGACAACTTATCACTGTGTTTACCTATTCCTGACACTCTGGCCTGTGCAGTCAGGACTAATAATATAAAATTGAAAACATACAGCCCCTTCCTCCAGATGCTAAAGGTTTCTCGAAGGAGAGGTGTCTTGTCACTGTTTCACCAGAAATTCCTGTGGATGCTCCTGAGCACAAAGCTTATTGGCCATGATTTATTACATTTGTCCCAGCCACTTTGTCAAGTCTTCAGCCAATACATTTGCTTTGTGCCTCATACACATTGTTGATAAATTAGTCCTTACATTGTTAAGTTTTCAAATAAGATTTCAAATAAGAAAACAAGAAATAGGAAAATTATCCATCTGAGGTCCTACTATAGATAACAGAGCTGGGATGCAGCCCAGGACAATTCCACAGCCTCTGTTCTGTACTGCTTTACTGCACACTCAAGAGGGCAGTGAGGACAGCACACTGCATCATCCTTGCTTCTCTTGCTACTGGGATGGTTGGGCTTGGCTCAGACTGTTTTTCTCCAGATCTTTTAATCCATATTCACAATCAGCAGTCTGCCAGGCAATGAATGATTCATCTTTAGTTTTATCATGTGGGTTCACTGTTAAGTTGGTGTGTGAGAGGTGGGAGGTGCACACATGCCTAAGTCCTGAGGTTTGAACTCAGGATCTAGGTGCTGTCCCTGAGCTTTTGTGCTTAAGGCCAGTGCTTTACCACTTGAGCCATAGCTGTACTTTATTTTAGTGGTTGGTTGACTTTCCTGCCCAGGCTGACTTTGAGCCCCAATCCTCAGATCTTAGCCTCCTGAGTAGGATTACACACATGAACCAGTGACATCCAGTGATTGTTTCCTTTCTTATGAATCACATTTTACTTTCATTTGTCTTTCTCTAGTGCTGCTGGGGGTGAAATCTTTGATCAGTGTGTTGCAGACCGAGAAGATGCCTTTAAAGAAAAAGACGTTCAAAGACTCATGCGACAGATTTTAGAAGGTGTACACTTTTTACACACCCACCATGTAGTTCATCTTGATTTGAAGGTAAGATACATATTACTTTACCAGGTGAGATTGCTAAAGAATGACATTCCCAATGTCTAATAGTTAACAGTGGCTTGTTTAAATGTGTGTTGATTTGTGATTTTATTAGGCAACCAGGATCACAGACTTGAGTCTTAACTTTTCTAGCCTGTTGATTTTATCAGGGTGATAATGAATATATAGATAGGTACATAGAAATATAAGTATAGAATTTCCAAAGATTGGAGCTCAGAATATTGCTGTTATAGATGATACTTCCTCATAGGATTAGGATTTAAGGTAGTATTTTTTTTGGGTTATGATTTACATAAGTAGAGAAAAATAAACTTACCTCCTAAGAGATAGAAAGACTTATGAAATGTTTGGGAATAAGCAAATTGAATTTAGACATCAACTAGAAGATAGTAAAGTTGAGAAAAGGTTTCAAATATCATGAAGAGAGATAATTTTTATTTTTTAATAGGAATATTTGAAAAGCAGTATTTTGGAAATTTAAAAAGGTAAGAATAAAAGAGAAGATGGGTGTGAGTGCTCATACCTGTAATCCTAGCTCAGGAAGCTGAGATCTAAGGATCTCCATTCAAAGCCAGCTCAGGTTTTGAAACTCTCTGTCTCCAGTAAATCACCAAAAAGCTGGAACTGGAGCTGTGACTTAGTGGACAGCTCTAGCCTTAAACAAAAAAGCTAAGAGGCAACATCCTGGCCCTGAACTCAAGCCCCAGGACTGGCACCAAAAAAATAACATAGAATAAATGAGAGAATTGGAGCAATTAGAGGCAAGTGTATTCTCATTTTAAATTGTCTAAGAGGTAGAAGTAGGAAAGGAAGACAAAGGGCAGTTGATCATTTCTAGTACTTTCAAGTGATCAAAACCCAGCTGAAACTAGAATAGGCAAAAAAAGAAATTTCATTGACAAGAAAGCCAAGGGATTATTGTACCTTCAGTTACTACTGGGAGTAGTTACTACTTCTCCATTTTTGCCCCACTCAGCTCTGGCAAGAATGGTAGTAAGGTAGGGTGAGGCAGATGCTGTTGCTTGGGTCTCACAGCTGCCCAGGGACTCCACAGAAAGAGCTGGCTTCCATCCACAGTTCTTTCAGAGTCCTCACAGTCATGCTAATTAAACCAGCTGGGCTCATGAGGGACTAAGTATGCTAGGGTGGTGCAAGGCTTGTCATTTTCAAACTGGTTGAGAAAGGATTGAGAATGGTTATTAGGAGGCAAACATGAAATATGTACCATAATGCTCTTGTATTCCTAACAGTAAGTAAATATCTGTCGTAGTATTCTTAGTATATTCCTAATAATGAATCTTGGTATATTCCTAACAGTAAGTAAACAGCTGCCATAAAATTCTCAGTGTATTCCTAATAATAAATATATACTAGAATACTTTTAGTGTGTACTCCCAACAGTAAATATCTACCAAAGCATTCTTTGTTTTTTTTGTTTTTTTTTGTTTTTTTGTTGTTGGTCATAGGGCTTGAATTCTGGGTCTGAGCACTGCCCCTCAGCTCTTCAGCTCTAGACTAGCACTCTACCACTTGAGCCACAGTGCCACTTGCGGTTTTCTGGTGGTTTATTGGAGATAAGAGTCTAATAGACTTTCCTGCCTGGGCTGCCTTTGAACTGTGATCCTCAGATTTCAGCCTCCTGAGTAGTTAGGATTATAAGCATGAGCCACCAGCCCAGCCCAAATCATTCTTAATATACTCCAATCAGTTAAATAAGTGCTCACCATAGTATTCTTGGTGTATTCTGACAGGAAGTGTCTGCTCTAGTATTGTTAGTATACTCCTGGAGTTATCTGGGTAGAAGAAGAGTTTGAGATTGCTATTGATCTGATGGTAACTTTTGTATCAAGCACAGCTTAGTTTTAGGAGGTGAACAGTCCTCAGACAAAGAACATAGCACCATGACTCCAGTTCCTAGTTCCTAGTGTTAATCCACTTACCAAAATGCCTCATCACTCAGAGGAAATGGAATTAGGAAGGAAGCAGCCCAAGGAAGCTGGACCCCAGGAAAGGAGCCCTGTCCTGAACTGTAGACTTGTCTCTGCTCACTATCTGCCGATGTCCTTGGTCTCTGTGATGTGTGTACAAAGAAGATATTGTATACTAGTCAGAGTCAGTTGGAAAATCTTCTGCTAACAAACTGCTAGGCCCTGACACCTCTGATGAGGTAGAGCCAAAGGATGCTGATCCTTAGTAGCACCTTTTGTGTAGCAGTGTAAATACCAGTGTGTGAGGGAATGTTTTCATGTATGTGTGGGAGCTGGAGTTTTACTTCTGAAGCAGCCTTGAGAATGTCCCATTTGAAATGAGGTGTGGGGGCTAACCAGGTGCTGGAGGTACTCATGTCTGCAATCCTGGCTACTCAGGAGGTTGGGATCTGAGTGTTGAGGTTCCAAGCCAGCACAGAGGAAAGTGTGACTCTTATCTCCAATTAACCATCAACAAGCTGTAAGTGAAGCTGTAGTTCAAGTGGTAGAGTGCCGACCTAGAGCAAAAAGGCTAAGGGACAGCTCCCAGGGCCCCAGTACTGGCGCGCACACACACACACACACACACACACACACACACACACACACACACACACACACACACACACACACACACACACACACACACACACACAAAGCACAGGGTCATTATACACCATTTACATTGGTTTCCTACTGAAAAATGCATAAAAGAAGGTAAACTTGCCTCTCTCAAGACACTTAGCACTGTGGCTGGCATAGATCACTTAACAGTAGCCACATGATGGTCACCAGTGGACAGTGTTAGTGCACCCACATGTAGCACCACACATGACCTAGTTTGCGCCACCATGGTGGAGGAACAAAGATTTTCTTTTCCCCTTTAGTCAAGTGTGCAATGCAGGACCTATATAACTCTGCAGGAGAGGTAGCCTCTGACTCCTGTGCTGCTACAGTGTTGTTAACCATGAAGAATTCCTCAAATAATGCTTATTTGGTAGTTTGTTGTTGTTTTGTTTTGTGTATTTGCTTTTATACTTTTTGGCTAGGAGTGTAGGAGTAACTAGGGCAATCCCTGGTAACTCATAGCCTTGTCCTTGGTTCAAAAATGTTCTTCCACTTGAGCCAGTCTCTCAGCCCTTTTTCAGAAGCATAATTTCATGCTTTTGTCCAGGCTGGCCAAGGTCATGATCCTCTTACTTCTACCTTCCAAGTAAGCTGGGATTACAAGAAAGCACCACTGTGCCTCGCTTGATTTTGAAACAGGGTTTTTTTAACTTTTGCCTGGATTGGCCTTGTAAACTCAGTCTTCCTATCTCCATCCTGAGTGGCTGGGATTGCACGCTTGCCCCAACACCTGGCTCTGGTTTCAAACACAACTTTGTAAAGTCATATTTAATTTTTTATTGTGTCTCAGTAGTTTCATGATATAAAAAGGTCTTCTAGGAACAGAACTCCAATTACATAACATCACACATATAGGAAATGAGCTTTATTTCAGTTCAACCTGTGACCATTACTTAGGAGCTAGTTAAGAAGCAAGTCCAACAAGTTACCATCACCATGTGTAATATATCTTTGATGTCACTTGAAAGCAATTCAGGTGAATATTAATTTCTTGACTGTCAGGTTCAGCCGTGTATTTACACAAGGAAATTATATCCCTTTCTCCCCAATACCTCAGTATAAATTATATTCCTTTCTCAACACATGGTATAAAATTCTTTCTAGATTTAATAGAGGCCTTGATGATGATGATGGGCCTTTGATGTTGGCTGCCAAACTCTCTGTATTGCCCAACTCGGGAACAAGCAGACAAGGCAGTCTGAAGTTCTCAGGCTTCCCCTCTGCCTCCATTCTTCATGTGTCTAGTCACGTGTCTCTCAGCAAACTGCTGAGATGGGATTGGTGTGGCAGCAGGGCAGGCAGGAATGATTTCTACCCAAAGGTCATTTCCAGTTGACCTTTCTGAGTCTGGATAAAGAGAATCTATTGTCCTGTACCTTTAAGAGCCATCTGTCCAGTGAGAATTTATGTGTATGATGTTTACTCTCAGGCTCTGGAAGAACTTGAGAGGCTAAACTATTTTAAAAAATTTTCCCACACTGCTTCAAAGCTAAGTAAATTTTCTTAAGTTTTAATTCAGCAAAAACTGATAATCCCAGTATCTATTATAACACTGAGCTAGTAAATCTTGAGTCGCCACTGTGGTTAAAATGGGAAATGAGTGCCCATAGACATAAGTCAGCTGGAAGTTAGAATAGCTGTGGCAGTCACGCCTGTCAAGGAAATAATTAATACTAAGAGAATACACTGCTTGACTTCAGCTCGCCAGAAACCTGATTTACTGACAACTTGCAGCCAAACACCTCGAAGTGAGCATGAGAAATGGTTTACTAGACAGCAGGCGCAGATTCAGGAGTCCACAGAAATATAAATCTAGTCTACAGACTAGAAGGAAAAAAAAAAAAAACGAACAACTCTTAAGTAAGGGAAAGCCCATTGTATGGCACAGAACATGTAGGATAGACAAGCCTGCGAAGCAATAGATAACTCGAGCAAAGCAAAGTCAGGACAAAGCTAACTGGAGCCTCTGAATCGCCTCAGTAATTTGATGCATTAGTCATTCCGAACGATGGCCTGTCTTTACTTGTGAGGGCAAGGACTGACCCAAAATAGCACAAAGAAATCTTCTCTTGAGATCTGGTATACTCCTGATCTGGTCGTGGGGCCTTAGTCAGTGTTGACACTTGTGTTCTGTTGTTAAAGTGCCCACGGCTAGGTGAGGGGTTAAACATGAAGTCAAGTCACGCATAGTTTAAGCATAAATACATAACTTGAGAGCAGGGGTAATATAAAGACATTTCTATATAGTTTCCACATTAGGATGATTATTACCCTGTTTCTCTACGGTAAGCTGAGTTTGAATAATTAAAACTTTATCTACTAGAACTTTGACTGACTGATAACAATGTTCTTTCAAAACTTATCCATGATATTAAGCAAATTGTTCTTGATAATAAGCAAATTAACCTCAACTTTACAATGATCTTAGCCATTTGGTCAGTGGTAATTGTTGAGTAAATGTTAAATGCATTGTAGGCCAGTGAAATTACCCAGCTGCAGGGAGGATGCGCTGTGGAGCAGGAAGAGACTTTGAAAGACCTCCTTGTAGCTGTGGACTTTATGAGGCCCAACTGAGGTTTCCATTGGCTGACCTGCTTCTTAGGCACCACAACTTCATTATCATAAGCTGTTTCCTTAAAAAGAAGGATTATCAAAGTTATAAATGTAAAAGTACTTACCTTTGTTTCTAGCATATATATTAATAATACTAATGTAGGCTTTTTTTGACATTGTCACCAAACCAGTTAAGTTTCTCACAGTAGCTAAAGAATGTGTTTCTCAAGGCATATAGAATATAGAATATAGATTGTAAGGAGAAGGAAACATTTACAATTACTTAAAGGAATAAATGGCATTTATGAACTGTCATCATGTCTATATTTACAAATCAATATTTATAAGTAAATTTCAAGAAGATCAACCTAGTTTTGTTTCCCATAGTAATATTTCACATGGCCTTTTTTTGTATGTTCTGGAAAGGAAAAAACATGTTCAGTGATAAACACACATCCCTGAGCCAAAGTCCTATGAAGCTTTACTGAAGAATTGACATTCTATTATATTCTTAATATTTTATTAACATATTAAAACTGTAAATTGCCTTGAAAAATTCCAGAGACTGACTAATGGTGCTGCATAGTTTTTTTTCCCTAAAAAATTATGTATTGATCTGTTTTCTGTTAGTGAAATAAAGTACCTGAGACTGGTTATAAAGGTAAGAGGTTTGTGTTCTCACAGTATAGGAGGTTCCACGGCATGGTGCTTGGGTCTTGGGGAGGATCTTTTAGCAGATATAGCAACAACGCAACAGTAATCACTGGGCAAGATGGGAGCAGAGAATAACTTACCAGTCTGGTGCACTGTTTTGTAAGAACCATCTCAAGAGAACCAACCAAAGGTCCCAAGACTACTTTCCATGGCCCCACAGCTCATTTCCTTTCTGCCAGGACCTCTTAAATGTCTCACTTCTCTCACACCACCACCTTGACAACCAAGCTCCCAACATGTGAGGCCTAGAGAGTCACCTAGCCAAGTCCAACCATAGCACATAACTTCAAGCTGCTTAACACAGGAGTGGTAGCTTGTCTTTTGTCATTGACTCCAGAATGGCCTACGGAGTCCTGTAATTTCAGCTGCTCCCTTTCCTTCCCTATCTTATTTCTGTGGCCTCTCCTGCCAGTTTTGCCTTGTATTGTTCTCAGGACTTCCTGATACCCTTTCCCCAGTGTCTGTGCTTGCCTTAGAGCCTTTGTACCTTCCACCTATCTTACTTCCACATTGATTTCCTGTCTAGTATCTTCTTAATGTTATCCTCCCCTCCCTCAAATGTTGCTTTTCCTGAGGAGCCTTCTCTGACTCCTCTAAAAAGAGCATGCAGGTGTATGTACCCCCACAGAGCCAGTCTCTGCTCACCCTATTGCTTGCTCAGAGAACTTCAGACTCCCTGAAGTTTCATTTTATAGCTGTCCTTACTTGTCCTCATTAGCATGTGGGGCTGCAGGCTAGGAGTGCCACTCAGTGACAGAGTATGGGTTTAATCCTCAGCAAAAAATAATGTTACAATGTAAGGCTTTAAAAGAGGAGACCTGTCTTGTTTTCTGTTCTTCTTCCAGAGTATACCTCAATAAGGACTCAATAAACAGTTTTTTGAGTGATAGAATCCTTCAGGTCTGCTCCCATAATCCCTCAGTCTTTTTCTAAGATGGAATTAATCCTGTTTACTTACCTGTTTGTTCCCTGAACATTCTGCATACACTACTAGCACAGGATAGCACAAAGGAGCAAGTTCAGCTGAGCAGTCTATTTCTTCCTCTCTTGACCTCTCTGTGCAGTTCAGCCTGGCCTGGATCTGAAGATGTAGTGCAAGCAAGTCTTAAACTCACAATCCTCCTGCCCTGGTATCCCCAGTTCTGGGGTTATGTGGATGTACCACCATGCCCAGCTTGATCAATGAACTCTTTGGCAGTAAGGATTTCTTGTTATTAACATTTAAACAACCATCATACCTGACCCAAAAAAAAAAGACGCTGATTGGAGTGGAAAAATTAGTCTGGTTTTAGTCATGTTGAACTTGAGGTGGTATTGAGACATCAAAGGGGAGAAAATAGGTAAGCAGTCGGTTGAAGAAGTCTGGAAGAGATAAAAGTTGGAGTCATCAGGTCTAGGTTATACTTAAGTTGTAGTTGCAGGTGGACTACAGGGTGAAAGTGTGGGGTGAGGAGGGAAAATAGCCTCAAGATCAAGCTGTGAGAAAACAGCATTCAGCCAGCCATGAGGTAGAAAATGAGAGTAGCAGCAGCCAGAGTGATGAAAGGAATGCTAGAGTGCTGTGCTATCATGGAACCCCAGAGAAAAAGAGTCTACAAACAAAGGAGAAATAGGCAGCTAGACACTGTGGCTCACCTTTAAATACTAACTACTCAGGAGGCTGAAATCTGAGGATCATGATTTGAACTAGTCTGGGCAGGAAATTTTGTAAGATTCTTATCTCCACAAAGCTGAAAGTGGAGCTGTGACTCAAGTGGTAGTAGATCACTTACCTTGAGCAAAGCTTCAGGTATAAGAGCAAACACTGAAAGCTATCACCAGCCCTGCGACCTCTGGAAGGACAGAGGTTGTCTGAGGGCTTGGATGGAAGTGGAAGGAGAGAAAATGTGCTTTTTCATGGTCATTCTGAGAACAGTGTGATGGAGGAGCAGGAAAGCGAGCATTTAACCAGGTTCTCTGTACAAGATAGAGCAGCCAATCAGCCCTGCCTGGGGGAGGGAATATAGGAGGGAAGAGAAAAGAGGAAGAGGAGCACCTGAGCACCTACAGACTTTTTTTTCTTCCTTTCAACAATATAAACAAGTATTTATGCAACATCTACATTGTACTAAGTATTATAATCTAGAGAAAATTTTCGTTCCTAGACTGTATGTTATAGGGATTATATAGATAACGTTATATATAGAGATAGAGATATATAGATGTTATATGTTGGTAATGTTATATGGTGTGTGTGTGTGTGTGTGAGTATATATAGGTATGTAAGGATAAATATGATATATGTACACATACACACACACGTATGTATGTTATATGGTAGGATCTGTGTAGGTTATTTGCAAATGGAATCTTACACCATCCATGATTCTTGGAGTCAGTCCTTCAGAATGGGGTGTGTTTGTATTATGCAGAGGAGGGAGGGGTAAGGGACAGCTAGGTCAGCTTGTCTGGAACAGTGAAATGGAGTTGTCATGACACATAATCTCATGAGATGTGAAAAATGGCGGAAAATTAAGAACCACTGAGGTAACTTGGGTGTTTCGTTTGGAGAATGAGACTGGGAATATGGAAGAGAGACAGCAGTGATGAGGGTGTACTTCTGCTCCAAGTGATTCCTGGACTAAAGACCCACCACTAGCCAAAGGCTAAGATGTGGGTTTCATTGGATCCTCTCAAAGTCTTGAGAGGGCTTTGAGTCAGAGTCATCAGCTTGTAAATGGCAGCTGAAGCTTTTAATCTGTGAAATCATCTGAAAATAAAAGAAAGGAGAATCTTGAACAGCACAGAATTTTTTTAAAAAATGAAATGGTGAGGCATCTATGGAGGATGAAGAGATCCCAGAAAATAAAAGAACATTTCAAGGCTGCCAGGGAAGGCTGACAGGTTATTACAGTTATTACAACCTTCTGAAGACAGATGTGGTAGGAGATACAGACAGCTTGAACTGGACTGAGAAGTGATAGATCCCCTAGAGAAGTGGAGCTTATAGGGAATAACAGGAGGAGGGTGCTGGCTGGAAAAAGAGTTGGGGTCTGGGGTCTTTAGAGATAATTGCTCTAATGCCTTTTGTTTTAATTTTTTAAGCTAGGGAATAGAAGCATTTATAAGCTGAGGAAAAGCCAGTCTAGGAGAAGAAACCACAATTACAGTTGAAGTCCTAACTATATCAAAGCAAATCACAGTCCCAGCCAGACCTGCCAAAGAGCTCAAGACCCTATCTTGAACAATTACAAAAAAACAAAAAGAGCTGGAAGTGGTGCTGTGGCTCAAGGAAGTAGAGTGCTAGCCTTGAGCTGAAGAGCTGAGGGAACAGCGTTCAGGCCCAGAGTTCAAGCCCTATGACTGACAACACACACACACACACACACACACACACACACACACACACACACACACACACACACACACACACACACACACACACACACACACACACACACACACACACACACACGCTGGGGATCAGGCCCAGAGTTCAAGCCCTATGACTGACAACACACACACACACACACACACACACACACACACACACACACACACACACACACACACACACACACACACACACACACACACACACACACACACACACGCTGGGGATATGGTTCAGGTGGTAACTCGCCTGCCTCTAGCTAGCATGAGACTGAGTTCACACCTTAGTACTGTCAATCAAGTATTTCTTGTAAAAAAAAAATGGCTGATTGCTGTTAAATTCTCAGTTTCAAACATAAAATTTGTGCTTTATGTGTTGTCTGCTTTTAAGTGGTTTCATTAATTTGAGGGTGTTTATATTTTAGCCACAGAACATTCTGCTGACAAGTGAATCTCCACTGGGTGACATTAAGATAGTTGACTTTGGCCTTTCAAGAATAATGCAGAACAGTGAAGAGCTCCGAGAAATTATGGGTACTCCTGAATATGTAGGTATGTACTCGTGAGAATGGATGATCTTGTGCTCAAGGCCAGGTGTCACTGTCACTGGGCACTCATGAGTGGACAGACTCACAGTGGGGCTGTCTACTGTATTGAAGTTTTACCATCAGAGATTGATTTCTTTGAATTAAATTGAAAAACTGAAAACTTTCTCCAATGCCAAATGGATGATCCCCTTTCTCCACAGCTTTCTTGCCTGCCTTTTTGTTGGAAGTGAGGTCAGTTGTTTGGTTTGGGTTGGTGCTGGGGCTGGACCCCCAGGTCTCCTGTATGCTAAGCTTGGGCTGTAGCCTCAGCCCAAGGCTGAGAGTTTAAAGTGATTACTTCCAAAAGGGATAGGAGAATCAGTTTGATAAGGTAATTGCTAACCCTGGGATTCCATGGAAGTAAGGAATAGAGGAGGCTTTCTGGGGGCTCCGGGCCTAATAGAGGGCTGTGGCTCGAAGCAAAAGGGGCTTAAACATGGAGGGGTGAGCTTACAGCAAAAGAGCAGCTGATGCAGGGCACCATGGGTACAAGTTGAGGAGAAAAGAAGTGAGCCATGTGTCTTTTGTTTTTCTCCCTTCCTTCCCTCCCTCTTTCCCCTTCTCCCTTTGTTTATGGACTAGAAGAAAAGTGAGGATTTGTGATTTGGCTGATTTTTAAAAAGCTGCTATATTAGAATATGATCATAGAATAACTTAGAAATGGCACACAGAGTCTAGAATATTAAGGTAGAATTTCAATGGTGAAACCACTCTTTGTGATTAGCTAGCTATACTCTGGCAAAATAGCTTTTCACACCAGGAGGCCAACAAGTGTTGCAGCCTGGCTGTGTGAGTCTTGGTGGCAGTATGGACATTGCCTGGGGCTCTGGTAGGCTGGGAGAGGGGAGACTGGGCTGTGTTTCTAAGGGTAGCAGTGAGAAATGGACAGTCCTACTTAAGCCACACCTCTACCTCCTACCTCCAGGCTTCTTGCTGGGTAATTGGATATAAAAAATCTAGGGTTTTTTTCTGCTAGGCTGACTTCAAATTCTGATCCTTTTTCTACTGGGCTGACTTCAAACCCTGATCCTCAGATCTCAGGTTCCTTAGCTGGGATTACAGGGATGAACCACCAGCACCCAGCTGATTGTTGGGTACACCATGAAGGGGATAGATGGGTGGGATGAGTAGCTGAAGGCCCGGGTTTGAGGTAGATATGCCGTAAAACTAGGATGGGGCCATGGAGAAGAACAGATGTGGGTTATAATCTAGAAGGTGTAAGGAGATGTTGGGAATTGTCAGTTTATATTGCAATGTTTGTACACTCAAAACACTTTTTAAATACTAGGAGTAAATAATGACAGAAGTATGAAACAAGGCTGGGAAGGTGGCTCAGTGGTAGAGTGCTTGCCTTGCATGCATGAGGCCCTGGATTCAATTCCTCAGCACCACATAAGCAGAAAAAGCCAGAAGTGGCGCTGTGGCTCAAGTGATAGAGCACTAGCCCCACGACCAAAAAAAAAAAAAAAAAGTATGAAACGTAGCTACATCTTTATATTCACATTCACTTGAATTCTGGTGTTAATGTATTTCATTTTAGGTAAGATCTTGAATAATGTCTTCTAGTTTCTAATGTTTAATTTTTATCAATAAATTAGGGTTTTTCTTTTCAAAAATCTAAGTGTCCTCTTCTATTTCTTATTCTAGCTCCTGAAATTCTTAGTTATGATCCTATCAGCCTAGCAACGGATATGTGGTAAGAGTTGATTATGCAAAATTGATCAGATTAGTCTCAAGAAATGAGTGTGACACTAATTTCCCTCATATCTTCTTGTGGCTTAGGAGCATTGGCGTGTTGACTTACGTCATGCTTACAGGAATATCGCCTTTCCTAGGCGATGATAAGCAAGAAACATTCTTGAACATCTCACAGATGAATTTAAATTATTCTGAAGAAGAATTTGACAGTGTATCTGAATCAGCTGTTGATTTCATCAAGAAACTTCTAGTTAGGAAACCTGAGTAAGTACTGATGCATCTTTAGCTTTTTGTCGGGGGATGCTGAAGATCAAACCAAGATCAAGATGTGCTAAGCCCATACTCTACAACTCAGCTACACTCCTAGCCTGAGCTCTGTGTGTGTGTGTGTGTGTGTGTGTGTGTGTGTGTGTGTGTGTGTGTGTGTGTGTGTGTGTGTGTGTGTGTGTGTGTTTGGGGTCCTGTCTTACTTGATATATGAGTTAGCCTAGGCTTCAGTCTTCCTGCTTGTATTCCCACAGTCTCTTGGGATGACAGGTGTACACTACCATATTCAGCAATTACTGAGTTTCTCCAACTTCTATAGCCAGGATGGTCTCTTGATTGTCATCCCCCAGTCTCCACCTCCCAAGTAGCTAGGATTACAGGTTTGTGCCACTGTGCTCATCTTGTTTGGCTTTTCTGAGACAGAGTCTCGAAAGAGTTCCAGCCCTGGCTGGCCTGGAACTCTGAATAGCTCAGGCTGGGCCTCAGATTCACCATTGCTCTGTCTCAGCCTCCCAAGTGCTGGCATTACAAACAAGTACCACTATATCCAACTCATATACAGTTTTTTAAATTATTTGTTCTAAACAAAAGTGGTTCATAACTGACACCCCAAAGTCAAGTCACAAGAAAGGTAGAAATTAATTAGATTGAACCCTTGGTCTGATGAATCGATTGAAAGAAAAACTACAAGAAATGAAAATCTGGCCTTCAAGGGTGGTGTGCTGGTCAGTGTGGCCTTTGTGTAAGATTCCACCATGATATATCATGGGCAGGGCCAAAAAGTACAGAAAGTGATGGTACATCAAGTTCCTCTTCAGATGAGCTTAAAAAGCAGATCTCAAATTCAGGTGTGGCTCCATGAGCAAGTGAATATGCAAAAGTACCCTGCAGTAAATACTTCTTAACAGAAATTGACAGTGAATTACAGTGGTTGTTTTCCATCTGTTCTCCTTCGCTCGAAATTTGAGATTTGCAACTAGGCAGTGATGATCACACCTATAATTCTTGCTACTCAGGAGGCTGATAGCTAAGGGTCATGGCTTAAAGCCAGCCCAAACAGGCAAGACTGTGAGACTTGTATCTCCAATAAACTATCAGAAAAGCCCTAATTGGAGCTAGAGTACTAGCTTTGAGCAAAAGCACCCAAGGCCCTGAGTTCAAGCCCAGGACTGGCACCAAAGAGAGATTTGCAGAGATGCTTCACTTAAAATACTGTTTTTCAACATTCTAAGACTGGTGGCCTTGTTTAAGAAGCACAATAAAGTTGGGCACCAGTGGTTCACGCCTGTAATCCTAGCTACTCAGGAGGCTGAGATCTGAGGATCGTGGTTCAGAGTCAGCCCGGGCAGGAAAGTCTGTGAGACTCTTATCTCCAATAAAACCGGAAGTTGTGCTATGGCTCAAGCGGGTAGTGCTCGCCTTGAGCCGACAGCGCCCTAGCCCAGAGTTCAAGCCCTACGACCGACAAAAAAAAAAAAAAGCACAATAAAATGTTTGTTGGCTCCAAGGCTGGAGGCATGGGCGTGATTTTTAACGGAACTTTTAACGTTATCCTACTTGTGAAATGCATTCCTTTATACAGAGATCGATCCACTGCTGAAGAATGCCTAAAACACCCGTGGTTGATCCCGAGCAGCACTTGGGATCCTTCTCTCAAAGTGAAAGGAGCCCTCGAAGTGAAGGCCCTCCAAGAAGGAGCCTCTGTGGCTGACATCAGGGCAGGTCTTGAAACAGCAGAAGCTGAGGACTCGCTTGGAACTGAGGAGTTCATTGTAGTGACTTCATACACATTAGGACAATGTAGACAGTCTGAAAAGGAGAAAATGGAGCAAAAGGCCATTTCCAAACGATTTAAATTTGAGGAACCTCTGCTGCAAGAAATCCCAGGAGAATTTATCTACTGAACAGTATTTCCCTTTCAAACTTGAAGATTTCTTTACATTGAAAATGTTTGTGTTATTTATGGACCTCTGGCCAGGTGCTGTACTAGAAGTGGAAAACCAGGCATCACTGTCAAAAAAACAAACATAAGCTTCTCAAACTTGTGCAGTTAGGTGAATCAAGCCAGATTTGTATAAATGCCAACCAGGAGGTTTTGCAGTTGATCTGTTTCAATGTTCTTTTTAAGAAGGGATGTGTTTGCACCATTTAATTCTACATCCTTTTTCTGGAGAATGGGAATTTGTGTACAAATTTATTTGTGTTCACTTTCTTTAAAAAACAAAACCCAGTAAAAGTGCCAAAACTCTTACTTCTGGTAAGTCTCTTTATTATTATTATTTATGTGCACCTACATTTGCAGACATGTATGTCTATCTCCTTACTAAAATTGACACTCTTTGGTCTTGGATTGTTGGATTCTTGGGGTTAAGGCAAGGTCTTCATTTACATTCACATGTAGTTTTGGCACTTGGAATACCATCCTTAGAGTTTGATAGTGTCATATTTTTTGAATTTTTTTCATTACTTTGTAATGATTTACTTACACTTGTATGGTTTTTCCCAGTGATTATAACATATCAATGGCCAATCTGTTTTTCTTCACGATGACTAACAAAAGAAACAGTGATTTTTTTTCACCTCTAAAATTATTAATGTTTAGGGTCTGGTGAGGGAAGGCAATTATGTTTCTTCTATCTCTTTCCCACACTCTGCCCTGCCATTTCCTCACCCTTGCCCCAAGTATATCACTTCACTTTGGTCACTGGCATGTGTCCTCATGGGCTAAGGAAGACTGTGATCATTTTGTTCAGTGAAAAGATTTCTTCATATTGTTTGCCCACAGAGCCTCTACTTGGGATGTTTCTTCTTAGCCCTTTTGCTCTCCTAGTAAACATTATGAAATACCAGAATATTTATAAAACTTGACTTTATTCTTTTTCATTAGGGAAGTACCTTGTCCAGAAAGATTTAACTCAGCCTAAGGATATTGGTCACTAGTAAAGTACATGGGAGGCCCTGCATTCAATCTTAGCACCAAAACAAAACGCAAAACACAAGCTTAATTTGATTAGGCTTAAACTACAGTGTTATTTAGACTTCTCAGTTCTTATTTTTTAAATGAAATGTACAAGTATGTAACTTGAAGTAAATAGCCCTCACATAAAACTTGCAGTTATTAATATTCTTGTTAATATATCTTGTCAGTTGTGTGCACTATGTACACCTGTTGGCTCTTCCTGGGGTATGAACTAGGAGCAGTTAGGAGCTATCCCTTTGTGATCTGATCATGGTGGCACACAAGCTCTCAAAGGCCAAGATCATAAGTAACACCCTGCAGCCACCAGGTGTGAAGTACATGTGGTACTGTGCTGGACACTAAGAGAGACAAGCTGTACTTGGCTGTCCTGACAGCCCATGGGTGCTCTGCCTTGTCCATACAGCATTCCATGAGATTGGTAAGACAAACAGTGGTACCATTTTCTTACTGAGTTGACTTTCTTTATTTTAGAAACTAACAATTCTAGCCAGGCACTAGTGGCTCACACCTGTTATACTAGCTACTCAGGAGGCTGAGATCTGAGGGATACAGCTTGAAGCCAGTCCAGGCAAGAAAGTCCATGAGGCTCTTATCTCCAATTATTCAGAAAAAGCCAGAAGTGGCGCTATCCTTGAGCAAAAGAAGCTCAGGGACAGTGCCCAGGCCCTGAGTTTAAGCCCCAGGACTGGCATCAAAAAAAAGGACGGAAAGAAAGAAAGGGAAGGAAGGAAGGAAAGGAGGGAGGAGGAAATAAGGAAAGGAAGGAAGGAGAGAATTCTAAACAAGCTTGGAAAAGAACAAGAAGAAATTAGGACTCTGGCAGAATTTTCAGTGAAAACCTGCAGCCACAATGCCAAGTCTCAAGGATATTTTAAAGAGTAAAAATACAAGTTTGATCCAAGTTTATATAAATAGCTTTCCTTTAAAAAAAAAAAGGGGGGGGCGTGGCCTAATTGCCAGGCACTGGTAGCTCACGCCTGTAATCCTAGCTACTCAGGAGGCTGAGATCTGAGGATCATGGTTCAAAGCCAGCCCAGGCAGGCAAGTCCATGAGACTCTTTATCTCCAGTTAACCACCAGAAAACTGGAAGTGGCGCTTTGGCTCAAGTGGTAGAGCACTTGCCTTGAGCTGAAGAGCTGAGGGACAGTCTCCAGGTCCAGAGTTCAAGCTCCATGATTGAAAAAAAAAAAAGTGGGGGGAGGCTAACTGCTGGATGCCAATGGCTCAAGTTTGTAATCCCAGCTATTCAGAAGGCTGAGATTTGACGATTGCGGTTTGAAGCCAGACCAGGCAGGAAAGCCTGTGAGACTCTTGGTTTCCTATTAACCTCAAAAAGCTGGAAGAGAGCTCAAGTGGTAGAGCACTAGCCTTGAGCACAAGGCCAAGAACAGCACCTAGACCCAGAGTTTAAACCCCAGGACTGGAAAAAAAAAAAAAAAAGATAATTGACCCCTCCACACACAAATATTGTTCAATTTGTATTTGATTGATTTATCAAGTTTTTAAGTTAGAATCATGTGGAATTCTTCAAAACAATGATAACACATTAAATAATATAATTGCTGTGAAAATGATATATTTTCTTTTTCCTGGCCAGTTTGATGCATATCCTTAGTGCTTTTGTACCTTAACTTTTAGTAGGGTGGTGCTTTTTAAAGAAGTCCTCAAGCTTTTAGTTTATATTGATACATAAGCAGTATGAAGAACTTTCTTGATATTAGGTGAAATAAAATATTTCCATTGAAGACTTGCTAGCTAACTCTCTATTTATCTAATGCTGTTAGTGTTTGTTTTCTCTGTTGCCAAGATAGAGGACTAAAAAGTTTATTCATACAATTTATAAGTTTTGTTTCAGTTATAATGCACTTTAATAATACACTGTAGTGTGATGAGATGTTTATGTAAAACATAGTGAGACCTCCCCCAATCTCAATCCCAGCTATGAAGGAGCATCTCAAGGCCATGGCTAGAAACAAATGTGAGACCCTACCTAAAAAAAAAAAAAAACCTAAAGGGCTAGGGATGCGACTTAAGTGGTAGACCACCAGCCTAACAACCACAAGGCTCTGAGTTTAAACCCTAGGGTAACCAAAAAAAAAAAAAAAGTATAATAGAACTAATCAGAAATGTACTGAATTGCAGTATTTCTTGTAGTTTGTTGTTTTCAAAGCTGGACACTCACCAGTGCCTATAATCCTTGCTACACAAGAGGCTGATATCTGAGGATTATGGTTGGCAGTCAGCCTGGACAGGAAAGTGAGACTCAGTGGAGCTATGGCTCCAAGTGGTAGATCACTAGCCTTGAGCAAAAAGAAGCTCAGGCCCTAAGTTCAAGCCCCAGAACTAGTGCGCACCACACAGGCAGGGGTGAGCTATCCCTTGTAATGTCTGAGGGTGGAATGTGGCTTGTGGCAAGAGGCTCCCATGGGTTTAGAAGTCATAAATTCTTTTCCTGGACACCAAGACAGGGATTTATGTGGGAGAAGATCACTAGCAAGAGTATAAATAAGCAAATCTTAAAATACATTTTAATCTTACACTAGTAGAAATTAGAGTTTGACTGATAAAATTAAAGGGGATTTTTAAGATTATCTAGCAATGTGTGTTCACCAGCTGCCTCATTACTGGGCAGTGCTGTGTGACTATACTACCACTTGTGGATCTTTCTGGTTATGGAGCTCTGGGCTGCTTAAGTTTCGAGCTATTCTGGAAAGACTAATATACTTCCATTGTACAGAGATTCATGTGGACATGTTTTCATTTCCCTTACATAGCTAGGAATAGATTAGCCAAGTTTGGGGCTTGGGGATACATATTTAATTTTCTAAGAATGTGCCCCCACAGTTTTCTGAGCTATTCCCACAGCATGGTATACAAGTACTCCAATGACTCCACATCCTTGTCCCTCCCTCGGTCACTTGGGGTCTCCTGTAGTCTTTCTCCTGGTGATGAGTTGGACCTCACCATGATTTCATTTGCATTTCCCTTCTTAATGAGGAGGCCTTTCTCACGAGCAATTGATTCTTTTGTCTCTACTTAATTGGATATAGTCCAGATTCAAGATCTATGTCTTGAAGATTTGTGTGTTAAAATATTTTCTACTTTTGCTTGTCTGTTTTCTCGAAGGAGGTTGTAATTTTGATGAAATAGAATTTATCCGTTTTTTGAAAATTAAAGTTAATGTTTTCTGTGCCCTCTATAAGAAGTCTTCACCTAGGCCAAGGTCTTAAAAGACATCTGAGTTTTTTTAGGAGCCTTTATAGTTTTAGCTTTTACATTTAGATCCATGATCCACCTTAATCTGCTTATGTGCTGTGTGGTAGGCATTGGTGCCTTTGTTCTCCACATGAATGTTCAGCTTTGCCGGCACTATTTGTCTGAGATACTCCTTGCCCAGTGAAATTCCTTGGGTGCTTTTTGCCTAAAAGTCATTTAGCCACATATGTGAGCATTTATTTTTCTATATCATTAATCTCTGTTTATTCTCTTGTCAAAACTTCAGTGTTGTCAACTAAAATAAAGCTTTCCAATTCCTTTCTCAAGATTGTTTTCTTGCTTTTATATTGTTTGTATTTCCAAATTTTTAGATAATTGCCTCCCCTCCAATAGCCTGCTTGTTGTTTCAATTTTGGTTCTTTTGAAACAGTGTCTCAACTCTAGGCTTTCCTGGAAATCACAATCTCTGTGTTCCAGCCAAACCTTTCACTTGTTAAGTCTTACAATCTGCATACTGTGACTGTCCATTTTAATTTTTCAAGTTTCTCAGTGCAGAGAACTTGCACATCCTTTATGTATTTTCTGGGGTTTGACACTATTAGTTTAGATTTCTTAATTTTTCTATTCTTGTGTGTATATTTTTTTTCTCCAACTTAATTTTAGCTTTGCTTTTTCATTTTGTAGCTTTAGGGATTGAACCAAAAGCCTTGGTGCCTGTAGTGTGGACATTGTGGCCCATGATGTCTGTAGGGTGGACACTGTGACCTCTGATGTCTGTATGGTACACTATGACCCATAGTGCCTGTAGTGTGCACACTGACCATGGTGTCTGTAGTGGGCACACTGTGACCCATGCTGTCTGTAGTGTGCACACTGTGACCCATGGAGTGTCTAATGTAGAACTGAACAAACAAGGGTATCTAATCCTCCTGTGGGGAAGAAAGCACAGCAAAGGAGAGACACCAAAATACTGTGCAAATAATAATAATACACCACTATATATCATTGGATGCAATTTGCTAATATTTTACTTTTGAATTTTTTGCTGCCACTT